AGATATAAAAATAACATGGAGAGCAGTTGTGTTTTTGAAAATGCCAAGTCAAGAAACCACAGTTTATAAATAAATGGCTATAAAATTTCCATGATCACTGAAAGTATAATCCAAAGGTCACTGATGTCGACTGGAGACCTCATTGATCAAACACAGAGTTATTTGTTGCTAGTCTAAACATCTGAATTGTCCTTTCTGGTTTATTAACCATTAGAGAAGGAAAGAGAGTACTTTATAGAAATGTACATGCAGGTAAAGTGAATAGGTTCACACAGCTTTTCCTACGGGCCAATGTATAGGTATGCCAAATACAAATTAGAAGACAACTGGGGAAGTTGGTATAGGCTACTTTGAATGGTATTTGATACCTTGTTTGTTTGCATATACTCCACCTTTCTGCCCTAATTAGGGCCACCAAGGTGGCTAATGGAGTAAACACATTTGTAAAAAACATGTATTTAAAAACCATTAAAGCCAAACAAAAGCACATCATTAAAACAATTTAAACTAAGCTAAAATACCCATTTTAAAACATAACATTATTCCAGGGGCTTTTGAATATGTTTGTCCTTCCCTGTATTGAACCAGTGATTTCATATCTTGAATTTGGGATTTACTTTATCAGCGTCAGACTACTCAGCTTTGGTGACTTTGTAAATACGCACCCCAATCTTGTAATTCATGAGCTTTCTATCTTGTGATTGGTTTATGTTATTGTATTTTTTCATTGAGTATGTATGAAATAATAGCAAACCGGATAGTACAATACTTATGGGTATTTCATAATACAGAAACAAAAAACCTCACCTAGGCCCCTGTCACACGGGCAGGAAACTGCAGAGGAGAAGTGTGGCTGTTTGCCCCGGGGCAAACTAACATGCAGTAAAGCGATCAGACCTACTGTGGAGGTTCTGTGGAGGTACTGTGGAGGTTCCATGGCAAGGGAGAGGTGCCGATCACAACACACGCCTGCGCGCAATGAAGAAGCGCGCGGCGCGGCGAACTGGTTTTCTTTTTTTGTGTACACTACGAATGCGCATGCTCCGTTGGGTGCGTGTGCGCATCCACGGAGACGTGGGAAAAAAAAACCCCTTTTCCGCAAGGGGACATGGGCGGGCGCCGGATACCACCGGAAACGCGATCAGACGCCCGCCCTTGCCCCGCAGTTTCTGGAAACTAGTACCTCCAAGGTACTAGTTTTTTGCTGCGCTTTTTCGGCAGGAAGCCTCAGTTGTGCCACGGAAGCGCTACGCTTCCCAGATGTGCTGGTGAGATCGCGACCGGAAACTCCGCTTGTCTTCCGTATCTCTTGCGTGGCTAATGTTGCGTGTGACCGCAGCCCTAGACTTGTTATTTGAATATTTACTGTTAAAAAAGAATATAGCATTTCGTTTAGGCTATTACATTAGATTGGAGTCCGTCTTGAAGCTTTCACAGATTGTCACCCCTGAATTACTTTGTGAGGCTAGTGAGTTTTCTATTGCCTCATTTAGTCCACCTTTGCCTTTGAACCCATTAGATCTTTGGAAATTTCTGACTTTTGATCACTATGGACAGAGGGCAGCATATGGGAAGAGGTGACAAGCATGGCTTCCACCTGTTGTTTTCTCCTAGACCCTGCTCTTGCTGGGTCCAGGATGGGCTGTAGACAACTTTGCAGCCTGTCTTGAGGACAGGGCCACCACAGGAGCTATTGTCCCTCATGCATTAATACCACCACTGCTGAAGTCCGGAGGGGGGGTTCAGAGGTCATTTTGGGGGATCGCAGGGGATCGCAGTTCCCCCGGGTGAGGTATGGGGGCGGGGCACATGACGAAGCCCCACCCTCTGCTTCCGGCCACCCCGCTTCCGGCCCTCATTCAGCCAGGAGGAGGCAGGAGAAGAGGGAGGGTAAGTTGCTTCCTCCCTGCCTCTCCCCACCCCTGCCTGCCTGGGGCCAGGGAGGGCCTTTGCGGGGCTTCCTTGCACTCCCGCTGGCCTTGCAGGTCCACCGCCGGGCCCCTCATGGGGCTCGGCAGTGGAGCTGCAAGGCCGGCGGCGGCCGGGACCGTTGGGGGTGGGGTGTGTGGCCTTATGACACACTTCCGGTGATGTCAGGGGGTGTGGCCTTATGACACTTCTGGTGATGTCGGGGTGTGGCATATGCTAATGAGTTATGCTAATGAGTTCCCCCTAGCTCTTTTTCTATGAAACGACCCCTGGGGGGGTCACTTCTTGGAGTGAATGGGGGTAGAACTGGAGGATGCTGCTTGGGCTGGCAAAGTTTGTTGAGCTGGTCCTAATTATATAGAAAACACCTTGAGCTTCCCAGCAGTACTTATTCAGCACAAAACTGCTGAGTTTGAGCTAGAGGAGGGACATCATTTTTAGTGAAAGAAAAGAATGAGAGGGATTTTTTCCCTACTTCTGACGGAGGTACTCTTATTCTGAAGATGTTTCTGTTCTTTCCAGACAGCTGAAATTGAAGTTCACAGTTGCATAACTAGGAGTAGCACAGTGGGAATATATACATGCAGTGCTTTTATGCATGTGCTCATATTAAAAGATAATGTTTATGCATTGCAAATTAAAAAGAAACCCCCATTCCCTCCCTTTTTGCAATTAGTTTTCTATTTACTAGAAAGCTGGTCATTGCCTTAGCAACTGGCAAGGAATCTGAACTTAGGTAACTTTGGAGTGCAGAGAAACCATTGGGAAAGAAATATATCAGCCAGCAAAATATAGTTACGTAAGTTTATCACTGTGTGCAGATTTTTTAATGAGGGAAATAAATAAATCAACAGTAACTTTCACACTGTTTAGCAAGACTGACTTTTTTGTAATTATTGTAAAGGATATGCTATTTAAAAGGCCTGAATCAACTCTTTAAAATAAAAATAATTCCTAAATTTATTACTGTTGAAAATTGTGTTAACTGTGGTAGAAGCCATATATATGATTGTATTTATATGAATAAGAGCTTTACCAACTGGCGCGCGTGTGCACACACACACAGAGCTCTAGCGGTTGGCATGTATTTAAATTGTATTAGATCCTATTTTCCCTGCTGATGTAAATTCATACAGCAGTGTCAACAGTGGAAGAGTTGTGTGTGTTATGTGTGCATATATGTATCTCTAGCCCACTGAGAATATCCACTTAATGAGAACTGTGGAGGGGGGGGGTCATCATGTGATAACTTTAAAATGTTTGTTTTGTAAAGTGGAGATTATTACCCGTAACCATTCATATTGATGTCTTGTATTGACAGCTGGTGTCCCAAAACAAGCTCATCTACAAAGTTTCGTTATTCATGGAACTCTTCATGATTGTACTGATGAATACTCCAGAATGATCCCCCATAGACAGGAACCTAATGTATGCCAGGTCTCTTACTTCAGCAG